GTGTATTTTTGAGCAGCTTGTTGAAAGCCATACGCCTCCGGTGGCTTTGTAACTTCCTCAAAAAAGTACGTCATCGAAAAGAAAAACTGACATCAAAAAGAATTAACGCAAGCAAAAATACCGCTATTAAATTAGTCCATATTAAAAAAAAAACAATGAGAATGAAATAAATAAAACTACGAACAAAACTGTTATTACAAAGTGATGTATGTACAAAACCATCAAAATTGAAAAAGAACCAGTTTTTCGTGCTTTAACCCGGGTGAATGTCTCAGTGTTATCAGCTAAAATTCGGATGAAAAATCAACGCATGGGATCGGTTGTCATCTGGCTCTGATTGCCAAGCAGGCTTTGGACTAACAACTGCAGCAACTACACTAAATTGCGCTTTTCGTAGCACAACTCTGACGTCATTCATGATGGAACATCGTGAATCACCAATTTCATTGCTTTTCCATGCGGCTGTAATAAGAAATTTCGATATGACCCTCACTTGCGGAACATCGCCGGTCGAGTCGCACTGTTTCCGAAATACTGCTGTTAGGAGTGAGTCTCTGTGCTGCTAGTAACGCTACATGTATACCAGGAATGCCCATTTGGTGGAGAGACAGACTAAGAACCGAGAGTTTTCTAGCCTTGGCAAAGCCACCTGCCTTCCTCCTTACAAGATTGATAAATCAGCACCTCTTCGTGAGAATAAAACTCGAAACTATACACTGCGCTTTCCACAAGCCCGATACCAACTCTGTCTTTAAAGTAGGCGACTCCTGACAGATGACAAGAAAAAGATCAGCGCTCCGTAAATAACTGCAAGAAAAGAAGGGATCAAAAAATAGCCCAATCTTGGAAGGGTAAGGAAGACGAACACTCCAACGGTTACAAACTTTCCGTTTTTTCTTGCAGTTACAGAAAATTTCATTTATAGCACTCAAAAGGTAATGTTGCAGGACACACATCTACAATAATAAAGCTGCGAGACTAGAACTTTTAGCTGTTCAACCTTTTGCTATACATAAAATAGTCGATACCGCAAAAAATAATTACCTCAGTGACACACTTCGGACACAGCCAATCCCCGGCAGGGACACTTTTTAATGGTGGAAGAAGGCAATAGGTGTGGAACGAGCCATCACACTTCTCGCACAATAGTAGACGGTCTTCGTTTCCCCCGTCCATACACACTTTACAGCAGACATAATCCATCTAAAGCAAAACTTGTACATGCATCGTGAAACACGACCGATCAGAACTGGTACCGGGTCAACGTATTCGACGTTTGCGTCGCTAGGAGACTCTGGCTGCTGTTTTGACGTTGAGGGAAATGCTGAAAAACCATGTTACAGAACAAAGATAACATGTCCAAATTCGCTGTCACCCTTTAGTTAAGCGAAACTAAACTGTACATGTTTCATGTCATCTACCATCATCGCTACTTATTCACTGCGACATTGTACCTAACCCATAACCCAGATTTATCACTTGTATGAATCACACACTAGGGATGTATAGGCGTAAACAAACTCTAACTGCTTACAGCTATTTAAATAAGATAACATAAGCCTGACAATCACTGAAGACAAGGACCGCTATGTAACAACTGATTTACGGGCTCAAAGACAATACGATGACATCTGGAACTCCTGAAAGAGCTCTTGGCCTAACTCAGAGACCAAGATGCTATGCTCAAAAGCCGAAGTTTTGATCAACTCTACCTGATAAGTCTCCAATTCCGCAAATTTCATTTCTTTCGGAAAAAAATTAGAACAAAATTCTTAGCTTGGAAGTAGCGACACTAATCTGTGCATACCAAGCTCTCTGATACGTAGCGCTGAACCAATTTCCATCGCTCGATGCCTTATATCATGGTAAATTAATAACTATGCCTCTGACAGTTGGATTAATCTTCAACTACTTACCCTGACCGTTACTAACAGTTCTAAAAGGGAGTTATGCATGCATCTAGTTGTATTATTTTTAAACTCATTTGTTCTAAAATATCTTCCTCATCCTTGCTAAGATTCCTGTTTGTTTGACACATAGTAGATGGCACTACGGGTTTATACGCCTT